ACACTATTTCGGAAACCCAAGGACTCAATCGTATGGATATGGAAAATACAGGATTGGAAATCTAGTATGAGTGAATGTCAGGTTTTTTCTATGGCTAGTCTTACACTCTGTGATGAATTCATAGGGTACACAGCGGGATCACTTCCTATACTTATTACTAGCACACTGAAAGAGGGGAATCCCCATATTCGTTGCCAAGGCCATTCTTTTGAGATCAAAATCAAAGTGTCTCGACGAGGATCTCTCTCTTTTTCAACCAAAACAAGGATGTTGGGACTCGCTTTGAACGAGCCCTATCGCCTGCAGAAGCGACGAAAGATTTAGTGGTACGTAAAAAACGTAGCATATTTAACCTGGAATCTAACCTATCAACAGAAGCAACCGTGGCTGATTCATTTTCCATAGGGATCAAGAGCGTACTCTCCTTCCTATCTTTGAAAGATAATGTTGGGTAATTCTCTGTTTTCGAAGCATTCGGTTGAAAATCTGCTATCGGATAATCAGCTCTTGTTGAAGCTTTTGGTTGGGAAAGTTTTTCTCAGTGAGACGATCCGGCTCTTGAGCCTTAGTAAAGGATAATTTCTTCATAGCAATCAATAGTGCAGGTTGACAGGGATAGACAGAGAAGTCTCGACTTCGCTTGTTTCGGAATGCACGACTTCCTATGCTCTAAACTCGGATTGGCTTTCTTCTTTGTTATATAATAAGAGGTGCACGGAGTCCAAGTAAAGAATTTTTGGGCTGATATGAAGAGAGGCATTACCAGAAGGAAAGTAGTCCAACTCAATGTCTTACGCATCAGTGGCATTTGAATGAAAGCAGTAAGTCAGTGGCCAAGAATCATCGATTTTGGAGTTACCAGCTCATGGGAATTTCTTTAAGTAAGAACGATCCCCAGCCCTCTTCGTCTTCTCGAAAGGAAGCGAGTGACTCAAGGTATGCCAGCGCTCTTATCTCTTGACCTGAGACTAGGTTGGGGGAGTTCAGTGAGCGAGGAGAAGAGTCGGTAGCTGTTAAAAAGAAGAAATTCAATCTAGATATGAATTGAGACGAAAGCTTGACAAGCCCATTCATTTAAGAAGGAAAGCGAGAAGTTAGTCGAGCACAACCTTCCAATTAAGCAAGGGGAAAGCCCCTCAAGCAGCCACCAAGAAGAATGGAACCGTTGGTCTAAGGATCTTCACTATTGGGCTTTTATCTTATGAGATCCGGGGTTGGGGAATTCCCCGATCCAGTCCTTTCTTGAGTACTTAAGTTTAGTTTAACAATCCAGATGCGGGGGAACCATTATTCCAGAAATCCTGCCTTTGATAGTTATACTAGTTCCATCCTTGTGCTGGGCGGAGGCAAGGCGGATAGAAAGAAAAGAAAGAGTAGGCCTTACCCTTTAGCTAGCCCCTAGGCGAAGGAAAGAAAGAGGGGTAGCTGGCCCTATCCAATTTCCTTCTGGGGGTTCCATCTCTTGAATAAAAGTAGAATCCTACCCTACAGCAGGAAGTCTTCAAAGAAGAAAGAAAATAAGGAAAATAAGAAAGGAATACCAGGATTATCCAGTCTTCCTCAGAGATAGATCGGAGAAAGAGGAGATCTAATGAGAAGAAATACCCGGGGTAAAGAAAGTTTCGTATAACCATTAGCGATTGTCGCTCTTGTCTTATCTGCTGCTGTCTCTGACTGACGAAGAAGGAGTCCCACTACACGAAAAGAAGAAGGCAGGATCCTACGTGTTGAAAACGAATCCGACCAAAATGGCTAAGGATGAGAGAGATTGCTCCGGGCATGTGCTACATGAGTGCCTTCTTCTCTTCGAACGAATCCTCTGTAGAGAAGCTCAGCACCGAATCCCCGGCCTTCGCCTCGTCGGAGTAGGCGCCGTCGGAGTCAGGGTATTAGCCTTTTCTTCAACCATGTCTTGAAAGATAGCCAGTTCATGCTAGAACTCTAGTTACCGTTTCAGGACTGGGCTAAGAGAGACTGGAGTAGTTAAGAAGCAAGGAAAGGAAGAAGGAATGAAGACCCTCGTAGACTTTAAAGCGAGTGAATGCCCGGTTTAGACCATCGGGGAGGAAGCAGAAGCTTCAGTTGTTCACGAATCCGTTTCAGGTTCTCGGGAAGAGGCGAAGGAATAGAAAAGAAGGGGGTGGACAGAAGCTGCGCCGGATCTTTCCTGTGCTTTTTGCCTTACCCGATACGCCCCTCCCTAGTAGTAGGGCTAGTAGCAGTAGTAGTCTAAGCTCTTTCTTTGCAAGAATAGGAATAGGGTGCAGCTTACTCTTTGAGGAAAAAGAGGGTGTTTTCAAGTTTAGAAGAATAAGTTGTGCTAGAATCAGCTGTTACAGAATAGGCAGCTATAGAATCAGCTCGGTCCTTTCTTCCGTCATGCTTTTCATAGCTATCCGATGATCCTGTAACTACCGCTGCCGATGCCGAAGTGCTTCCTTCATCGTCTCAAGTAGGGGATTAGGCCCTCGAAGACACTGGAAATCCCCAGAGTCTTCTTCGAATCAGGAAGTACCAGCAGATAATGAAGTAGGTCTGGTCACTCGAGCAGAATTTATGGCCATGTTAGATAGAAAGAACCAGGCCGTAAATGAGTACTTCGATAAAGAGATTCAAGAAATGACCGATAGATATAAACGAGAAACTGAACGAATATAGGAGTCATGGAGGCGTGACTGTGAAACCATACTTTGGTACAGTTAACAAGGTTGGTACCTATGTTAGCGAAAGGACACATCGAGAGGCTGATAGAATTCTCTTAGATATAAACCAGTCTTCTTAGTAAGGCAAGGTGCGTAGCGGGAATGACTAGTCCCACACCCACGGACATCAGGAAGAGAATCGGTTGTTGATTGAATCAAAATAGGTTGCTCTTTAACTTCCGGTCATCTTCTCCCGTTGGTCGAGCCTTTAACCCTTGACCTCTCAGCGATCTGTATCTCGTTCCATCGATCGTAAGTGACGGGCTCTTTTCTCATTTGGTAGAACAAGTGGGAAAGCGAGAAGGGCTTTAGCCTAGCTTCTATCAGGAGCTTGTTGCTTCAACCCGGCCTGTCAGTGCCCAGTAGAGAGCAGAATGAAAGCCTTTGGATGGGAGATTTGAAGCTAGGGTTCATCTTGCATGTGTTAAGCATATACCTAGTTGAAGTAGCATGATGTAAGCTTCTTAGTGCTTTTCAAAAACCATTTGCTTGCAACGCCTTGAGTGGACAGGTCAGACAGACAATACGCCCACTAGATCCTTCATACTATTACTAAAGTACACTTAACACTCATCCAATCTTGAAAGTGGAGTAGAATCAATCGCATACCTTTGGGCATACCTTGAATCTAGCCTACAATCCTTTCTATCTTCTCTTAGGAAATTTATAGTTAGAGGGAAAGATCACTCTAGACATACCATGCATCGGGGAAGGACGCAGGTCGTATATAAAGATATACGATACCACCAGGCGAACAGTCTTATTCATAAGTAGAAAGAGTCCCAAGAGAGGTAAATCAGCAAAGGATAAAGAAGCATTTTCCCGGTAGGCTAAGCCAGAAAGAGAGAAAGAGAAAGAGAGTGTTAAAAGGCTACGCACCTTGGTCCAGAGCGAGGCAAGCAACGGTTGGTTGAACCCGTTCTCTTTAGTTCTATTTTCACTAATCCGAATCGGAGGGTAGAGGATTTTTTGAAACTTTAGCTAGGCTCCTCGAACCAGATTCTATTAGATCTTCTACCGTAATTCGCTAATCTCGATGAAAGAGCAGGTAACTACATAAGGCAGCTTTCCCCGCTCTGTCTTCTCTACGATTTACGGGTACTTACTCGTGCACGGAATCAAACAAGAGGAGGTTGCCTGATGGGACGTCGGCCTTTGCTAAGGACTTTGCCGAGTTGGGTTCTTTTAAGAAAGAAATTGCCAGGTAAGATGCTGACTTTGCCGGGCCCTCTCTTCTAGTAGCCTAGCGCTTCCCCTAATTCTAGTTAGTGACTTCGCTACCTTTACAGAAGACCGAGAGTCAGGTCAGGGGCTACCTTATTAAGCCATGCTCCTACTAAACCACCAAGACGGGAGAATCTGTATCTGATCCTTCCTGGGAGGAGACAGAGTCACAAAAGGAGTGACTTCTGTGCTGGAACGTTGGGACGTCGCCCAGAGAGCCTCTGACAAGACCTCATGCCAGACCCTTGGGTTGTCAGTAAGAATCTTATCTATTATGGTTTTAAGAACCTTATTAGATGACTCGGCCTGACCATTAGCCTGAGCATAGTAAGGTGTTGAATGAATGATCTCAAAACCATAAGTCAAGGCAAATTCCTTCACTTGTTCTCCTGTGAAAACTGAACTCTGGTCAGCAGTCTGTGAGATGCCGAATCTATGAATGATATTCTCTTTCAGGACCTTAATGACTATTTCCTGAGTCACATTCTTCAAGGATATGGCTTCCGCTCACTTGGTCAAAAAATCCGTTGCAACAAGTATGAACGTATGTTGCTTGCTTGATGGTGGATATATCTTACCAATCAGATCCACTGCCCATACACGAAATGGCCATGGTTTGACTATAGGATGCAATTTCTCAGCTTTGTATGGATATGGATCCATTTCAACTAGTTCAAATAGAGCTATTCTAGCCTTTGAAAGCTGTCCAATCGGTCCTTGCTTCTTACCGCCCCGTGGGTCCTTCAAAGCCGGGCAAGATCCGACTTGAAATCGAGCTACAAGGCCTCTAGAAAGCTCACTACCTTCACTCGCGCGCCTCACTGTGCCCTAGGGAGAAGGGAGCTTACTCCGCTTAGAGAGACTGGAGTAGGGGCCTAGCGGTAGGGAAAGAGTGAACACGGGGCTATCTCCGATCCGGAAAGGACTTTCTCGATTCGCATCTTCAGATAAAGCAGGCGAAAGTCATTCCTCTCGGCTGAGGGCTGCGAACGTATAACAAGGGGTTAAGGAGAGCTCATTAGCCTAGCGGTCAAATTCTGTCTATAGAACCGGGGGAAAGCCGGTGACTTCATT